ATATTACACCATCTCTCGCTAAAAGGTAGATGCGAAGCATCTATCCTTTAGCTTATAGATGCAAAAATGCGTAGATGCGAATGTGTAGATGCGAAGCGGCGGGCTCTAAAGCTTATCGTTCAGTTACACTGAGCATTCCGGCCGCTAAAAGGGCGCCGTACGGCCGTAGCCGATTCGGCAGCGGTGAGATCCGCTTAAAGGGCCCTATCCGCCAAAAGGGCGCCGATAGGTCTCACACGGATTTTTACGGCGTGTGCTGCCTGATCGCTAGTTAAGACATCTAAAAAAATGGCGGCCAAGCCCTACTAGCTTGTGATGTCACACTGCATGTAAGTGAATGTTGTAACCAAAGGTAGTTTAACGCATTCTGTGTAGCAGCTTACTCCACGTCCCGATTTTGTGGAAGAGGCAGAAGTTTGCGTTACCGAGCTTGTGGCGGTCCTGCAGAGCAAGACGAACCGCTGGCGTTGATGTTTTTTTCTGCTCCAGTAATAATACCAACATTGCCGGTTTTTTTCTTCTGTAATAAAGATATTAATGATATTTTTCACCTGTTTATAAGGCCTCAGACTCTAGGACTCAGATAGTACAACATCCCAACGTAGTTAGCACGTTCAGCGGTCTATTGTTGGATAAAAAGCTCATTTGCACATGCATTCAGCGCTTAAAACTGTCCTTGGCGGGTGGCCTAGATGGCATCCCCCTCCGCCATACTAAAGACTTATGGTATTATATTTGTTTTAGTACTGACTGCAATATTTAACTGTCTGAGCGCTTTGACGATTCCCAGCATGTAGAAAACTGCACGTGTTTTCCTGGTATTTATGTTCGGCTGCAAAACAGATATTTCAAATTGTCGCCCAATGTCACTATAGTGTGTGCCTATACTTTTCTCTACACTCTATACTCCTTTAGGACGATTGCTTCTGAACTTCAATGCTATTCGCACACTTTATTTCGAACTGTCTTTTTTCCCGAGGCGAAGTAAAGATGGTGGGCATTCATTTTGAATCCCGCTAGAGCACATTGCACGTGAGTTGAGAAGCCTTCCTGTAGATACATACGAATCGAAGCTGCGATAGTGAAGAAAACTTCCTTCGGGCGCAGCCTTTCCACGTCATTCCACCGCGTGATTCTGTTTCATTTGTCATGTGAGAGCAAGAAAGAAAAAAAAATGCACCGCCGGGGCGCAGTGACGATGTCCCGGGGTTTCGCCACGGAATTAACCCGTTCCGGCATTTGTGGAGTTGTAGTCATGACCGCAAGCGACAAAACTCCACGATAATTCTATATGACACACGGCTGCGTTGGCGTGGCCAGAGTTCTAACTCCAGATAAAACTTCTTTTTGAGCTAGCTAATGTTTTACAAACACTTCGCAGCTGGCGCAAAACTAAGAACATGAAAAAGGGGGGAGAAAATGTACAGACAGGGTGGGCTTCCACCTCTCTGTACATGTATGGAATGGGAGTGTATGTGTAAATTATTGTAATCATCTATGCATCTTCGCCATTTCCGCGTGTGCTCAATGCTGTACGCGGTACGTAAACACTGACTAAATAAGTTATTTGCTAGACTATTTTCTGTAAGACATCTGCAGGGCGCCGCAATCTTTGGCCGTGAAGCCTATGTTTTTTGTTCCTGTACGTCGTGACATCACTTACTTATGCCACGAAACATCGTATACAACAATCGAACCATTTTCATGCGTATGCGTCTGCTGTAACACCGTTCGTTTAGGTTTTAAAGGCAGAAAACACAAATGTTAACAGCCCAGTATTTCGCCACTCAAACTGATCTGTAAAACAAAAACAAAAAAACAGTGCGTTGCCGTTATCGTTACCGAAAACGAGTAACACACGTTGCTTCTGCCGTTACGCCAGGCTTCAAAAATATTGTCCGTGTGAACTCGCTCCAGGAACTGCAATTACAATTCGTTAACCTAATACTTACATTCGGCACGAAACTTTAACCAAAGCAACGATTTTAGCTGCATCACTGATATAGCTGGGAAACTTTGCAAAAGTGTGCCGGAATTTAGCAATATTAGAATGGCCCACATGTATTGCTAACTATATGTAGTAGGCCCGTGTGCTCAGATTTGGGTGCACGTTTAAGAACCACAGGTGGTCGAAATTTCCGGAGCCCTTCACTACGGCGTCTCTCATAATCATATGGTGGTTTTGGAACGATAAACTCCGCATATCAATCAATCGTATTGCTAACTATACATTCGCCTTGTTGATGTATACTATATCTACATTCCTTCTCGTTGACACTCCTCTCACTCTGTCTCCCCTATGAGCTTTTGCATGCCAGCCTCCCCATCGTCGAGTGCGATGGTTACACACCTTTGTTGGAGATATATATGCCCTCTCGACGAAGACGAACCCGCTTCTCTGCGACCATATCAGACAAACAGGCTGAATATCTCTGTACGTGAAATACGTGGGCAATCCACTTGAGCCAACTCGTGACCTGCCACACCCACTTCGCAACGAAGGTGACTCACCATCTACTGTAACGGCAACGCACCAACACAAAGATAAAGGATAATGATGATGATGATCCTCTTTCATTTCTGGCAATCGCCCACAACAGAGTATCGGCCCAGAATCGGGCGGCATGATCTTTAAGTTTGTGGGGTATGGACTAAAAACCTCCAATGAAAATTAAGTTTATGAAATCAAACAGAAACTTACGAATGAAAATACTGCACAGGAAAGCAGTCAAGCAATCAGGTAGGATCTGAGGTGAAAATAAAAAGAATGTACTAACAAGATAATATTTTTGTTCCCATTATTTACTCAAACACAGCAGAGCAAACTAGAGCTCCCTGTGATAACTTAGCGTGACACCTCCAAAGGATGAAATTACTGCAACATTTATTTGTAGACCTAAAGGACTACAGATACAAAGCATTTGTTATTCTTCCCCTCTTTGTCTCTGTGTGGGCGTGCTGCTGGTCCGTCATGAAACGCAATAAACTAGACCCCGTTCCAGTATTGTGACTCCCTGACTGAGTCAAGCGTGCGTTGCGAAACTTTTATCAACTATAATGAATGAATAAGCTGCATTTAAAGTCCAGCATTTTTTTTCAGACGAAGCGAGTGTGAAGAGGGGATGGCCTGTCCCACCCTCCATCGTCGATGATGGTCGTGCCTCAGGCAATTAATGCTGGCAGTATGGTTCATTCAACGAATGAACAATAGCACGGACTTTGAGACGTGCGCCAATGATAAAGTTTGATAGATCTACGCACTTGTTAAGTATAGTATTGCATGATATTTTTCTGAAATACTGGCCACGATTTGATTAAGCACTGTCGCGATATTCAGAATGTATTACTGGCCTGAGCCGTGATTTACATAGTGAAATGACGGACGAGAACAACATTAATAAAGTATTCTTTCAGAAACCTGGCTTCATATTGTCGAAAAGAGCTATAGGCGAGCTGTTGAAAAAGCATGACCATGACGAATAGGGCATGACTTTTCTAAAATAGATCCCCTGGCTTCCGTTGACCTGCCTTTTTTCAAATAAGTTTTATCTTAAAGAATGTCCCATCATAATTGAGTTGATACGCAGTGATTGTACATGTGCACAGTATTTTTTTGTTTCTTTGTCTTCAAGGTGTTTAGAAATCTTATTGCGCATTTGAAAAAGTAAATCACAGTGCCTAAAGCTCCATAAAGACGCCCTAATCATCACAAGCTCGGAAAAAAGTTATTATGATAGATTTGTTGTCAATTGCAGGACCGATAAGACTGATTGAAGTTATCGTCATTATCAAAATTAAGTGAAATAAGTCAGTTTCTATTTGCTGTAGTATGGCTGAAATGGTTGGAGCTCTACTATTGATTTATGTATGAAGCGCCATAATCAACGAGTATTGCGTCTTTTCTCCGGCAAATAAGTTTTGAGAGAGCCCGTGTGTAGGAGGGAATTCACTGAAAGGTCAAAAAATTTTTTCACCAACAATTAGCTTAAATACGCGGATAAAAAAATGCGTAGATTTCTCAGAACAGATAAAGGGAGAAAGAGCTTTGATTTGTACTTTTCAAAATGACGAAGAACGCTTTAGCCTCAACTCCATTTTCCCCTTAAGCCCTGAATCTCTTGAGATTTGGCGGTGGTCAAAGACAGCTTCCTTTCTGACCAGTGCCTTGCCTCGGATATCTTTTTTATCAACTAACAATATTTCTCTCCAAGATATGTATCATTGAGAATTTTCCATGAAGCTTTGTGGAATACACTGGTGGATGAGAAATTTTCCATTTCATGTCACCTTCTTGTTCAGAGAAGCCATCGAGGGCTATGCAGCATATATAGTTAGCTGCATTGTGGCTGCACAGGGGCGGTGCCATGATCTCTTTACTGGGAGAGCCCTCCCTCCTCATACCTACCCGGCGGAATGTTTGAAAACAATTTATCACCCCCGTATTCTAGAACGTCCCTTCACTCAACGCTTCACCTTGACATTGCAACAGAAGGCGACAAAAGCTCTGCTGAAATTCGTACGCGACACTAACATGAACAAGCAGCTGTAACAGCAATATCATACACCGCGAAAGACAAGACTGTACTATGACTGAGTGTGCGCGCGTGTGCTGCCGAATGTACTGTGTTTATATCTCTTCCCTCTATTCTCTTTCATCTCCCCAAACCCCCTCCTATACGCAGGGTAGCAAACCTGCTGCCTATAGGCTGGTTATCCTCCCCGCCGTTCTTTCCTCCTATTTTCTTTCCTTCCTTGACCTGAAAAATTGATTACAGCACCGTCTCTAGGCAGAGCAATTCACCCAATATCAGGGATAATCTGCAGCGATTCTCGAGAAACACAGCGTCATTTTTAGACAAGCGGCGGCGCTGTGCTCAGCTCGTTCAAGTGACGGACGAGATTCGAGTCGAGAAGCGTTCGTGAATACGGGGGTCAGACTTTGTCGTTCAGCTGTAAGCTTGTACTTGGAGCGAACTGAATACTCGTGCATGCGTACTCACGTAAACAGCCTCTTGTAGTCATATCCACCGCTTATTTCACAAGGTCCATCAGCCTCTGCCCGGCCAATGAGAGCGACGACACAGGCAAGAAAAACGCCCAGAAACACCGCCGTATTTGGCCGGGCCATTTCTGACTGTCCAGTCGTTTCTTTTTGTAACGGCCGTGGGAGTCAAAATATCCTCGGTCGGCTTGACTCACTCGCTGTCCGAATCCCACACGGGTATAGCGACGACAAATACTCGACACATGCCAGAGAATTCGCCGTGGAGATTGGATAAAACGCAGCAGTTTACACAATGTTATCGGCACCTTGTGGCTCGAACCGAGCACGTTATCTAATCGTGAGCAGAGAGCATTGGCTTCTGCATCGATTACGCGAAACGGTTTCCAGGAGGCTCCACGGGTTTCCTCCTTTCTGGATACATATGGTCTATTCTAACTGTAGACACTGCAGAATTTCCGCAGTGAGAATGATTAGATGGGACTCCCACGACGTTTCTAAAGATTGCTAGGAAGTCGACGAAACGAGCTGCGTAGAGTAATTCATATACCTGCTCACGGCTATCCGCACCACTTCAGGCTATAGAAGGAATACAGCTTTAGTAACATCATATTTGCACACAGCTTGAAACAAGTAGTTACAGCTTATAGAGGGAAGAAAAATGGACAGGAAAGAACGCTGGAAAGAGCAGCGTAGTTACTCTATAACTACTCGTTTTCATGTGCTGTGCAATATGTTGATTCAAAATCACCAACTCCAGGCATCCGTCTTATCAACTTTATTGACGCCAATAAATGGGCCAGGCGGGGGGCGTAAGTGATGATGGGTTCAGGGAAGGTGTAGATGATGGGCTATGAGGCCGCTCTTTATAGGTGGCCAAAAGTCCTTGAGCTTCGGCGACCCCGGCACACGATCCGAAGTTGGTCTTCTGGTCGTGAGCCGCTCGAAGCAGCGTCTCAATGCTATGGCCGTCTCTGAGCCCTTGCAAAAGGCGTGATTAGGATTGTTTCGACAATTACGATATACGTGGTTGGAGTCGGCTCACGGACTCGAGCACAGACTAGAATTGATGGATTTGGGAATTGATGAAGTAGGAGATCAATGTGCCCGTTTGGAGTCGGCGCCAAACGAGTTGCTGAGCCTGGGTCAGTGATTTATAAACTGGTGGGTTAGAAAATTTCGGGAACTATGGCAATGCGATTTCATAATATGCGATTCCAACAGAGCAGTGGACGGTTTACCCTCCACGTGCTGCAAAGGGAAGGTAAACTATTCACCACCCGGTTGACAAGTGCTCGGGTTTCCTACCCAGGATGTCCACAATGCGCTGCAACCCACAAAATAGCGATTATTTGATTAAATAGTCAACGTCGCACCGAATAAACAACCACACAGAGAAAGAAACACACATAGACACCACGGACGCTCACTTACAACTGTTTATTCCTTGAGGAAACAGGCTAATATAAACCCACTCTTCGTCGACACATGCGCAACGTGATCAGTCCTTCTCTCACTTAATCAGGCTATCGGACACATGCTCTCTAGATAACGTGTTTCTGACTCATACAGGTTTAGTGACGTTTCGCTAACACAATTAATGCCAAGTTTCTTTATGTGATATGCCTTCAATATTTCCCGTGCTAACTTGTTTGTACTTCTTCCCAGGATCCTAATCTGCGTGAAGTATGGTGCATCCACAAGCTGCAACATGAGGTGCGCACTGTCCTTCTTAAATGCGAAGCATTTCTTATCGAACTTCAGCGACTTTGAGCGTGTCTATCTATCTATCTATCTATCTATCTATCTATCTATCTATCTATCTATCTATCTATCTATCTATCTATCTATCTATCTATCTATCTATCTATCTATCTATCTATCTATCTATCTATCTATCTATCTATCTATCTATCTATCTATCTATCGATCTATCTATCTATCTATCTATCTATCTATCTATCTATCTATCTATCTATCTATCTATCTATCTATCTATCTATCTATCTATCTATCTATCTATCTATCTATCTATCTATCTACTATCTATCTATCTATCTATCTATCTAGCCACCTACGACTTTAAGCTCTCCTGGTCGTTGGTATGGCAACATGACTGTATGGTGAACATATTTGACTAGTCATATCATGAAAGTCGTGACATGTATGTCATGATTTAGATTTCGTGGTCCTGCAGCTCTTGCGGCGGTTTCCTTCACATGGAATGTTGTAAAACTGGTATGGTATGACATGATTGCATAGCGAACACAAGTGACTGACCTAACATGAAAATCATCACATGTGTGTCACGTAACAACATGACTACATGCCACGCTCATGATACGCTCGCGGCCGTTTCGCTAGCTTCACTTATACCAAATTTTGTATTAGGAGACGTGAATGGATGAGGAAGGTGTGATACTGGTGCAAACATGACAAACATGAGATGCGTGTCATGTAACAACATGACTACATGCTACGCTCATGATGCGCTCGCGGCTGTTTCGCTAGCTTCACATGCACCAAACCCGGTATTACGCGACGCGAACGGACAACATAGATAAATGACACATCCAAACGAAATAATCACGACATGCGTGTCATGTAACAACATGACTACATGCCACACTCATGATGCACTCGCGGCCGTTTCACTAGCTTCATCTATGCCAAATTTGTTACTACATGATGTCAATAAATGACGCAGGTATGTGACTCTTGGAAACATGATAAACATGAGATGCTTCTCATGTGAGAATATGACTACATGCCACAGTCAAGGCACCAAGGCATTTCGACGTGACGCGGTGCGCGTGCTCGCCGGCGTTCATCCCGTTGCGTCACGCCGGCGATGCCACGCCAGGCGCCGGTCCTGCCATATACTCGCAGGCGCGCGCCGCACTGCGTTGCTTTGACGCATGCGCGTTTCAATCCGTCCGGCGTTTCTCTGTCACGAAAAGAGGGAGACGCAGTGTTGTCTGGGTAACGCATGGGCACGAAATGCAGCATGTCACATTTCACGCCAGTTGCCGTCGGGTCGCGCTGACAGACGCTGGTCGCTAGAGTTACTGTATAAGCTACAGTTAGGTAGCATATACCTAAAGGTAGCATATACAGGAACTCTACTGGTCGCGCCTGGCGTCATACTATAGAGTGCTCGTGTTTCGCTAACGTAAGGTCGCGGGTTCGAATTCCGGCTGCGGCGGCTGCATTTCCAATGAAGGCGGAAATGTTGTAGGCCCATGTGCTCAGATTTGGGTGCACGTTAAAGAACCCCAGGTGGTCTAAATTTCCTGAGCCCTCCACTACTGCGTCTCTCATAATCATATGGTGGTTTTGGGACGTTAAACCCCACATAACAATCAATCATCAATGTTTCGCTAACGTAGCGTCGCGGTGCCCAGCGCGCACGCACGCGTCAACGCTACATTGGAGTATATTGGGCCCTTAATGCTGCGCTCGCGGCCGTTTTGCTAGCTCCACATATAACATATTTGTCGTTACGTGACGTCAATGAATGACAAAATATATGACTGGTGCAAACATGATAATCCTGACACGCGTGTCATGTAAGAGCATGACAACATACCACGCTCATAGCGTGCTCACGGCCGTTTCGCTAGCTCCACATATACTAAATTTGGTATAACGTGACGTGAATAAATGACGAAGGTAAACAACACGGTCAAACATTATAATCATGACACGGCATCATTTACTTTCACCTCGTAACGTTGTGCTGATTTTAAAGTGACACATCAACGTTTCTCCTTCATGCTTCGCATATATTCAATTCCCACTGTACGTGGGATCTGGAATTTTTCTTTACCGCGAGAGCATGTGTTTTCGCTCAATCATTGACGCAGCGACCCGTGTGGCCAGCATAGCTATTCTCGTCCGATAGGGGAATTTCATAAACCACTCCAGTGGCGCACTTCATGAACGGCCGCGCAAGCTTATTTTTGCAGCCTTTCGGCTGTTGAGCATGGCTTTCATTGAAGTGAGGCCACAACTTCGCCAGTTTGTTTGGGGCGGTGACCACCAGTGGTACACCATGCCGACTCGCCACCTTATAGCGGTGAAGCTCCTTATAGCGGCGCCCATTCGTCCCTCGTAGCCGTTGTAGTGTGTAATAAGTATAACGTTTGACCGCCAAGGTGGTGCCGGTGAGTGATTTCTTCTGTGCGTTGTTGAAATATAAAAAAAAGTGCTCAATGTACATGCCAATGGCTGTTAATGGGGAATGAGAGACAGGAGCATTCGGCTTTTAGTTAACGAGCATGCTGCGATCCCCATTAGCAGCAATTGACAGGTACATTGAGCACTATCTGTCAAGAAAGGGTTGCTACGTTATACTCACTGAGTGTAACCTCCTTAGTTTTAGAAAAATTTAGCGAGCGTTTAGCCGCAGTGCCATGAATACAATGAACTAGTATGAAGCGGTATGAGCCTTTGGACAGAAGATGAAGAAGCGCGAGGGCCGGGGCAGGAAAGAAGAGGGGGATGAAGTGAAAAATAAAGCAGATTAAGATGGACGCCAGTTCCATACTGAAGCTTTAATGCTGTTCCGTTATTTTAAGTAGGAACACTACATTATTTTGGCGCAGCCGGCCATCGAAGCCATCATGTGGGTGACGTTCTTCATAGACGAGACCTCCGAGGAGATCATCTTTTCGAAGTACCAAGTTCAAGACGAAGCAGTGGTAGACCTACCTCGTGAGCTCAGCTCGGAAGAACTCGTAAACCTGGTTGTGGAAAAGGCAGCCGTAGACACTACTGAACTACGACGGAAAGGTGCTGTGAAAGTGAACTTGCGTGTGGCGACCTTCAACGACCTAGTTCTTGAACCAGCGCGTCGAAAACACTCAGGATCACGATCTCCGACGGAAGAGGTGAGCCTCGTTTTGAAAGCTTTTCAGCTGCAACAGGAACAGATGCTTCAACAAAACCAAATAATGACATCTCTTATAAGCTCTCTGAATGCTGAGAGACCGACACCTAATTTCGTAGAACCTGATGCTTTCGACGGTGTGTCTTCAAATCCAGAAAGTTGGCTTGATTTCTACGAATATGCCGCTGGAAAAAACAAGTGGCTCTCTGATGAGGCTAAAATCACCAACATGCGCGTTTACTTGAGAGGTGTTGCGCGAAAGTGGTATGAAACATGCATTCTGGAAGACAGTGACGACTCTTGGAGCCAGTGGAGGAAAAAGTTTTTGACTGCATTCCGAAGCAATCCAGTAGAAAGATGGAA